AATAACACATCTTCAGATTAATAACATATCTTCAGGTCAGTAATACATCTTCAAGACAGTAACACATCTTACATTTTCAAATTAATAGCACATCTTCAGATTAATAACATATCTTCAGGTCAGTAATACATCTTCAAGACAGTAACACATCTTACATTTTCAAATTAATAGTACATCTTCAGATTAATAACACATCTTCAGGTCAGTAATACATCTTCAAGACAGTAACACATCTTACATCTTCAAATTAATAACACATATTCAGGTTAATAACACATCTTCAGATCAGTAATACATCTTCGGCAAATCATATTTAGGGACAAAGGAATCTTCTTAATTATTAGTAACTACTTCATATTAAAACAAGAAAGTTTTAATTTGTAGCATATTTCTGCTGACTCAGCACTTTAGGGAATAATCTGACAGTATATGCAGTATATATGTCATTCATATACTCTTCAGATGTAGTATGTTTTTCGCTGCAGATTGTGTTTGATTACACGAATATAAATATAAGTGTTTACGGTTACCTCACCATCCTGCTTCCATTTTTCATCGCCTTGACCATGGTTCGGAATCTACGACACTTAGCCTTAGCCTCGGCAGTTGCAAACACCTGTCAATTCGTGGGTCTGTGTATCATTTTTTACAACTTGTTTCAAAACCTACCACCTACTACATCGAGACCATTGTCTACGTCCATGTCAAGACTTCCTCTGTACTTTGGCACGACAATATTTGCTTTTGAAGGAATCGGAGTCGTGAGTGTTATAAAGTTTTATTTGGGATTAAAAATAAGAGTTATTTTAATCAGCTGTTTTTTTTTAAAGTATTTGAGAGAGAACGTTTTAACTGTTTAATTATAATTTTTTGATAAACATCTCTTTGAATATTTTTAGTATTAACTTCCAAACAACGTAAGCTACCTGCTTAAATCGAAACTCTAAATCAACCTAGTATTGGTAATGACTAAAGCTGATTAAATATACTTATCTTAAGTTCTTATTTATAAAGATCAGAATGCATTGTTTCATCAGTTAGTTACCCTTTCTGTTAACAACGTTGTTGGCCATAATCCCAATAATATCTCACAAGACTCAGACAGTAGAATAGATTTACGTTAGTCATCAATACATAAATTAATCTAACAATGCAAATATAATGAAATAATAATTAAACTAAATATAAGAAGTAATAAAATTATATATCTTGAACATCCCAACCACTTAAATATTTATTTTCCACCCGAAGAACAGGTTAGATACAACTTATCAAGAAACTATTTAAAGTGAAACCTTTTGTATTGTTGTTTTGACTCGATTGTGTTACATCGAATGTTAAACTATATATTAGTAGAATTTACAATTTACTATCATATGTAACTTCTTCTAATATTGATTTCAATGGAGACAATGTTTTTATTATGGAAAGCAGAATAAGTCAGTAAGTTTAAGGGTTTCAAACAGAGAGATTGAAGTACATATATACATACAATTTAAGGCCAACGTTTGTTTTAGGTTCTTCCTATCGAAAATGAAATGAAAACTCCTGAAGACTTTGGTGGATGTAATGGTGTTTTGAACACTGGGATGGTGATTGTGGCTTGTCTATACGTCGCAATGGGTTTTTTTGGATATCTGAAATATGGAGAGGAAGTAGCGGGAAGTATAACTTTAAATCTGCCTGCGAAACCGTAAGTTTCTCTTTATTTAACCATTAACATTTAAACCTGCCTTCCAAACGCTCGTTCTGATTTTTATCTACCTATTAACATTTAAACCTGCCTGCCAAACGCTCGTTCTGATTTTTATCTACCTATTAACATTTAAACCTGCCTGCCAAACGCTCGTTCTGATTTTTATCTACCTATTAACATTTTAACCTGCCTGAGAAATGTTTAGTCTGAGCTCTGTTTAAACACTGATATTATATTATTTTATTTAAGGTTTAAATTGTAACAATAAATTAACCCTTATTATGTCAAATTTAGGGTTTCAATTCTAGTACCCATTTAAGTTTGATTGTAGAAAGTGGATTTCTAGGAAAATGTTTATTTTTTTTAATATATATATTTTAATATGATAATTACGTCATTCCAAAACATCCAGGATCTACGAGCTTGTTCGAGTGATATTCGCCGTAGCTGTCTTTCTATCATACCCTCTTCAGTTTTATGTACCTCTCAAGTTTATCTGGCCTTTCATCAAAAAGAAGAAAAAGTTGGACAAGACAATGTCTCTGAACATGCAACATCTTTTGGAGTATCTGCTTAGGGCATCATTTGTTCTATTAACATGTAAGACTGACTGACTGGGAAGTATTTCTTTATTTACTTTATAAACGTTTCCCACAAAAATTCTGTTAGTGTCCTATCGAGAATGTCACAATATTCCTAGAGGGCAGAGTGTTACATGTTACAATATTGTTAACCTTATATCACTCACAACACAGAACCCTGTAAGTAATTTCCCCGAAATGGGGCCGAAGGAAACCTGGAGGGGTTACCTGTTTTAACCAGTCGCACCACTGTACAGTATTGTGTTGTTTGTTAGTCAGTCAGTAGACACTAAAATGACGTCACATTAGAGACGCTTAACTTTCCAATTTGTACTGTAGTGACGTCAGTAAAACGTGCGCATGCAATGAATCACGAGAAGAATTATGCCCTTTGTAGGCTACAACACAACATGACATATGGGCTTCAAAAACCAGAAATAAAAACACTTCTTACTGTTAATTTTGGTTTTATTTACTCTTGACATAGAATACATTTGGGGACCCTATTTAGTTCGAAAGAATATCCTATAGGGCACAATATCCCACAGGATATGTTATAGCACTGCTAATACAGAACCCTGTAACAAAACATTTATTAAATGAAATAGTCTCCATTCTTATCGATGATGCTTTTCCATCATACAATCAGGTTGTTAATGCTCTGATTAAAGAAATCACTTGGCTTTGAAGCAAAAAACATGTCGATGTCCTCTTTAACACCTTCCGCATTTGCATACGTTTTCCCATTAAGATGGTGTTGCAGCGAACGAAAGAGATGGTAATCTGATGGTGCCATATCTGGAGAATATGGTGGGTGGGGGAGAACTTCCCAACCCAACTACATAATCCTGAGTTGCGTCCAACGTGCCACATGTGGACGTGCATTGTCGTGGAGAACACCTTACTGATTGACGAGTGAAGGGCGTTTCTGATGATTGTTTGTTTGTTTTGAATTTCGCGCAAAGCTACACTAGGGCTATCAGCGCTAGCCGTCCCTAATATAGCAGTGTAAGACTAGAGGGAAGGCAACTAGTCCTCACCACCCACCGCCAACTCTTGGGCTACTCTTTTACCAACGAATAGTGGGATTGACCGCCCATTATAACGCCCCCACGGCTGAAAGGGCGAGCATGTTTGGTGGGACGGGGATTCGAACCCGCGACCCTTAGATTGCGAGTCGAGCGCCCTAATCACTTGGCCATGCTGGGCCCGTTTCGGATGAAGGGTTTGATATAAACCTTCCAGTTGCTGACTATAGATCTCTGCATTGACAGTTCGCTGTGGATTGAGAAGTTCGAAATGAATTACTCCTTTGATGTCCCACCAAATGCAAAGCATCACTTTCTGCGGATGGAGTCAACGTTTTGGGGTCGGAAATGTTTTTTTTTTCATCACCGGTGACAATTCTGTCCAAAAATGGTTCATGCGCATTACGCGCCAGAAGAGACGAAGCAATGTTCACACGTTGGAAATGATTATCATCGGAGAATTCGTGAGACACCCAAACACCTTATTTATGGAGTTTTCCCATATTCCTTAGATGTTTACGTATTGTTTCTTGAGAGACATGTACTTTCAGGACCATTTCACGAGTGTGTTGCCTTGGTTTAGACTCAACAAGCGTCTTCAGAGCATCAATAACAATTCCAACATGTCGGCCCTTGCCATAACAGTTTTTAAGACTAAAGTCACCTAAACGAAATTTGCTGAACCATTGCTGACACTTACGAACGTTCAAAACATTTCCATAAACTTCTTTGATATTCTTTGTTTCCCTTCTTGTATTCAAACATCATTACATACCGAATGTGTGTCTCGTCTTGTGCCATCAATATAAGGGATTAGAGTATACTAAACTTTACACATTATATCGGCTACACTAACGTGACGTTCAGACGGTTCGTTTAACTATTATACGTGATGTACGTTTTTTTTGGGGGGGGGGGTATATGAAAGTGTTCCAAAACGCGACATTAATTTCTTGGCGATCTAATATATATACATTACTACTTAACAAGAGAAACTCTTTAAATACAGTTAATAAAGTGTATACACTTATTGGTACTCTCATGTGTAGCTATATAATATGACTTTAATTACCTTATTGATTACTCACTAATTAGACCCAAATTGAGATACATCAGTAACTTTACATAAAAGAAAGAGAGAGTTGATGAGTCCTGGTATTCTAAGCTAGGACTCATCGGCACTGAATATAGAAGGTATAATATGGTTGACATATTAATATCCATTTTTCTTTAATTTCACCCGTAAGTTGTTAGAAATAAAAATAAACTAAAAACCCTTTATTTGACGTGTAGTTTCTTCACAGTGTTCATAGCTGTTTCAGATACAAGGTTAACAAGAGGTTTTTACTGTTGGACATATTATGTATTGATTATGTCACTGAAGAATAAACTAAAAACCCTTTATTTGACGTGTAGTTTCTTCACAGTGTTCATAGCTGTTTCAGATACAAGGTTAACAAGAGGTTTTTACTGTTGGACATATTACGTATTGATTATGTCACTGAAGTCAAACATTTCATCATCGTCATCAGATAATGATAGTAATTTTGGTTTAATACCAACCAAACTAACAGTTTAGGATCAAACGCAACCAGTGGTGTTAAGAAACCTTTTTCTCTTCACCCCCACCCGTGAGAAAAGGATTTAGAAATATACGGGATAAAAGAAAACAAAGTTAAATAAATAATTATTTGAGCATACGAATGTTCTTAATACTTTCTTTACGCGATGTTTTGGGCAAACAAGAAGCAGAAGCAACCAGAAACGGCACTTGCTCGCGATTTGGGAGTAGCCCTAAACCAACGGGATGGAATCTATAGATCCTATACCCAGAACTTTGATGTGGGAGGAAAACCCACTTTCATTTACCGGATGTTCAACCATTTCCCCATGCGCATTACTTAATGAACAAGAGGGAAATAAATTTTGTTATTATTTTAACAACTGGACAGTGTTTCTTCTTTTATTGGTACACTGCATGACCTCAGTGTACCTCTGCAGGCGTCTTCGCCATTTGTCAGCCAGTGACAATGGACATGCGCGTGCTCTGGAAATGCTTGATTGATTGGGGCTTACAGCAAGACTTCGGTGACATTTGGTATGGAAAGCACGTCACCTAAGATTATGACCCCGCAAGTCCAGCTCAGGAAGTTCGGTGGAACACTGTCCATCTCCCTATGACCACTAAGAGCAATAAAAGAAACACGCGCCAAAATCACCATTAGCTCTCAAACGGGGAGCGTTCTCAGGCGTGCTAGTCCAGTGACTTAAACTCTCGCTCAATTGTCCAGTGCTCGTTTTAGGACACCTACATCGAGGGTGTCATTGAACTGTCTGTCGAGTAATTACATTGTTGAGCGGTACTCGAGCATGACAGAAATCAGAGTCGATAGTTTGGTTTTACTTAAAGCTAACATGTCAGTCTAACAGACCCGGCACCTGTATACAAAAGTAAAGAACTCCTTGTCAAAGTAAACAGTTGAACAAAATACAACTCCTTATCAAGGTAAACAGTTGAACAAAATACAAGTCCTTATCAAACTAAACAGTTGAACAAAATACAACTCCTTGTCAAATTAAACATGTGAACAAAATACAACTCATCAAGATAAATAGTTAAACAAAATACTGAAACCCAGTATTAGATAACAGACCCGGCACCAGCTTTAAGTAAAACCAACCTGTCGACTCGTATTTTGTTCAACTGTTTAGTTTGACAAGGAGTTGTATTTTGTTCAACTGTTTACCTTTGACAAGGAGTTGTATTTTGTTCAACTGTTTACCTTGACAAGGTATTCTATTTTGTTCAACTGTTTACTTTGACAAGGAGTTGTATTTTGTTCAACTGTTTACTTTGACAAGGAGTTGTATTTTGTTCAACTGTTTACCTTGATAAGGAGTGTATTTTGTTCAACTGTTTACCTTGATAAGGAGTTGTATTTTGTTCAACTGTTTACTTTGACAATGAGTTGTATTTTGTTCAACTGTTTACCTTGACAAGGAGTTGTATTTTGTTCTACTGTTTACTTTGACAAGGAGTTCTATTTTGTTCAACTGTTTACCTTGATAAGGAGTTGTATTTTGTTCTACTGTTTACCTTGACAAGGTATTCTATTTTGTTCAACTGTTTACCTTGATAAGGAGTTGTATTTTGTTCTACTGTTTACCTTGATAAGGAGTTGTATTTTGTTCT